ATTGGGGTCACGATTGGGGATGGGTTGGGGTGCAATTGGGGACAGATTGGGGTCACAACTGGGGTCACATTTGGGGATGGGTTGGGGGCACGATTGGGGACAGATTGGGGGCACAATTGGGGATGGGTTGGGGGGGCAACTGGGGACAGATTTGGGGGTGGGTTGGGGGTCACAACTGGGGACAGATGTGGGGCACAAGTGGGGCCACAAATGGGGATGGATTGGGGACCCATTTGGGACCCATTTGGGGACCCATTTGGGGACATTTTGGGGACCCTTTTGGGGACACGGACCTTTCTGCACTTTGTCACACAGCAGGAAGATCTCGTCCCCCCCCTGGCAGCTCCCAGAGTTTCGGTTCACCCGGCAGATGCGCAGCTCGGCTGTGCTGGGGGCACCTGGGGTCACACGGGGTCACGTGGGGTCACACGGGGTCATGTATGGGGACACGGGGTCATATAGGGTCACACAGGGGTCACACGGGGTCATACAGCATCATATGGGGTCACATAGGGTCACACGGGGGTCATGTGGGGTCACATGGGGTCATGTATGGGGACACAGGGTCACATGGGATCCCACATGGGGACACGGGGTCACATAGGGACACATGGGGTCACATACAGTCACATACGGTCACATAGGGTCACACGGGGTCACATGGGGTCACACGGGTCACATAGGGTCACACGGGGTCACATAGGGGTCATATGGGGTCACATGGGGTCACACAGGGTCATGTATGTGGACATAGAGTCATATGGGGTCACACGGGGTCATACTTTAACATGTTTAGCATGACTTTAACACGCTGAGCGTGACTTTAGTGTGTTTAGCATGACCTTAATGTGTTTATCATGACTTTAGCGTGTTCAGCGTGACTTTAGCGCGTTTAGCATGACTTCAACATCTTTAACATGACTTTAGCATGTTTGCTATGACTTTAACATGTTCAGCGTCACTTTAGCTTGTTTAGCGTGATCTTAGCGTGATCTTAGCGTGACCTTAGCGTGACGCTGGCGTGTTGGCGGTGCTGGGGACTCACGGTTGTCGTAGATGGGCTGGGAGAGGACGGGGGGCAGCGGGCAGAGCCCCCCAGGGCCGGGCAGCCACACCTGGAAGCAGAGCCGCACCGCGCTCAGGTCGTATTCGGCACCGCGCTCCTCCATCGGCACTGCGCCCAGTAAGGACCAGTAAGGACCAGTAAGGACTGCTGGCCTCCCACTCAACTCCCAGTGCTCCCCTCAACCCTCCCAGTTCATCCCAGTGCACACAGTAACCCCTCCCAGTCCATCCCAGTTCATCCCAGTGCTCCCAGTACCTCCCAGTATCACCCCAATGCTCCCAGTCCATCCCAGTTGATCCCAGTTCATCCCAGTAACCCCTTCCAGTGCTCCCACTCCAACCCAGTGCTCCCAGTAACTCCTCCCAGTACCTCCCAGTCCATCCCAGTGCTCCCAGTCCATCCCAGTGCTCCCAGTACCCTCCCAGTATCACCCCAATGCTCCCAGTATGCTCCCAGTACCTCCCAGTAGCTCCCAGTAACCCCTCCCAGTGCTCCCAGTCCCTCCCAGT